GACCTATTGTCATCCACCATCTTTGTTTGTGACGTAAAGAGTGTTAGAGTCACGTTTCTGAATCGGACACTCTGATTGGATGCAGTCACAGCCAATCGGAGATGATTCAGAGGGTTGCCTGTCAGTTCCCTTGCCTGTCAGTTCCGTTGCTATGGTTCCGTTGTTAAGTGTACTGAAACGAGAGCCGGTATAATTCCAAAACAATATAAAAATTGGAATACGTTATTTTAGTGTCTTAAAGGTAGACTGAGGTATGAAGGGTTAACGTTACATCTTAGGATAATTTTAGTCATGTTCTGTATACATACTAACATATACGGGTATAATTAGTGTGGTTACTCCATGTTTACTAGCTATAACATTAACATTACATCACTCTTTTTCACTTCTTACTCAGTCAGCCAGAGTGCAGATATCACCATTAGATTCACAAACCTGAAACATCATCCATTTTTTCACTGCTGGTGATGACATTCTTGTCAGCTGCTGATACTGCTGCTGCTGCTGCTTGTGGCGCCTTTTTCAATGAAAATAGCTTTCTAATATCCATAACTTTATAGGCTATTAGCTTAAAACTCGGCACTAGCAGAGCCATATGGCGCTGGGCACTAGGAAGGATCACTTCTTCTTCAGGGCAGGGAAGGCTACGCAGTACACGGGCTACTGTCCCGCAGAGGCTGCCTCTCTGGTGGAATCCGGTACTGCACATTACTCCCGAGACGTTTTAAAAAAAAAAAAAAAAAAATTCTTTTTTTTTTTTCAAGTGAAACACCCGGGGCTTTTCAGATAACATCCGGGGCTTGAGCCCAAGTAGCCACCCTCTAGCGCCGCCACTGGTCCCATGTCATGGCCATTTCTACTGATCATATTTCCATTGTTGAGGTCTACTAGAATAGATTTGGGCCATTACGGTCCTTTGCTGTTGATTTGGGTATTCACACGTCACAGAACCCAGGAAGAAAACAATGGAAAATGAGAAATATCCAATGAGGCGTTTTGGGGCAGCATAGACAGGTATTTTCTGTGTTAGAGTTTTACTCGCGGGATTGTGACTCTGCAGACCGTTTACATGCATAAAAACCTTCATAACACACAAGGGGACGGGTAATAACCGGAAAGCCTGACATGGGCCCTTTAAACTCTGAAGCAACTGCTTATCGCACAAATCACAATGCTACTGGTCCTGCTTATCTTTGTAAAGATTGTAACAATGCTTGGACAGAGAGAATGCTTTTTACAGCTTACAAGTACTAAATAGTCAGATGGATAACCAAAGCAACATTTGTTGTGGAGTTAGAGGTAATATTGGATCCATTCAGGTTCTCACTAGTTCCTTAAATAAGGTCATTATTGATATTTATGGGTGTCCAGGGCTTTCTGAAATGTTTTGCAGCCCCTCTCTTATCTAGAAAGGTGAGGAATGACTCAAACCAGACCCATCTGTGGGGACGGGGCTTTATCTGTCTCATATGAAAAATGAGGGGAAAGAACACTGAGCATGACATGTAATCTTCATTTCACATACTTTTTTGAAGTAATGATGCTGGAATGCAACTGTGGATCGTAAAAAAAAGTTTCTGTACACTTAAGCTGTTGAAAATACTTTCTACAGCCAAAGCAAACTTAGTTGAAAATGTATATGACGATGTTTGTCGTAGTCATTGTTGGTGATAGAATACATATAATTGTCCTTTTTAGGCCATATTGTGTGTTAATGTCCAGCTCCTGCAAAGTGTTGAATATTAAGAACTGATTTAATTTAATCTGTTAAACACGTTTGCTCTTTTATCTTTGCTAATTGTCATTGCCTGGGACCAAAGTCACTTTTAAAATCCTTGGAGACAGGATGTTTGATAGAGAAGAACACAGGGACAGAGAGTTTAATGTGTTTGTGTTTGAGGTGCTGAAAGGAACTCATTGATGATGACACTTGTCTCCTGAAACAGACAACAGAGAAAAGCTTACTCAGCACCTTGGTGCCACCCCTCACCTATACAAACATACAAACCTTCCTCCACCCACTGTGAGTGGCCTGTATTCCACTCAACCCACTCTCTCCTCTATCTCCTCACTTCCTGCTAAACTTCTTTACTCCCACGACTGGTCCCATGTCCTCTCTCTCAGGGGGAATGTAAACAAAATGACAGGTGCAAAGGCCACTAAGACCCATGTGTTCCTTAATAGGCCCACACAGCAGAAAACCTGCGTTTTCTTTGGTGTGTGTGTGTGTGTGTGTGTGTGTGTGTGTGTGTGTGTGTGTGTGTGTGTGTGTGTGTGTGTGTGTGTGTGTGTGTGTGTGTGTGTGTGTGTGTGTGTGTGTGTGTTTGCGTTTTTCTTTATGATCTCCTAAAGCAGAAATGCATAACAAAGTGCTCCCTAGGGATAGCCATGTGTTTTTTGGTAATGAACACAATGGGGTGTTTTCTGTGTTTGTGTGTCTAGGCATGCGATGATATTTGACCTATTGTACTCTAGACAAAGTGATGAAGAAGTGAATGCAGGAGTTCTTCCTCCCTTAGGATTGTCATGTGATAGACACAGAGCTAAACAAATACAGCAGAATCTGTTGGATCAGCAGCAATTCAGAGTATTTATAAAGGCAACACGTCTAACATATTTGGCTGTGATCATTTACATATATTTTTACGATTGTAGATATATTCTCTGCCAATGTAAAGATAGAGACAGCCACCACCTAGACAGGCAGCCCAATACAAATGTTTTGGTTTTACTTTCTTTCCAAAAAATGATATTAGACTGAACTCTCAGTTATAATATAAACTTGTAAGCAAGTTTGTCATACTTATAAAGGCTGCTTTGGTGCATGAACAATAATGACTGAAACCCAAATAAACCATATTGTTCATTAATACAAAATAAATGAAAAAGACAGTTCAGCATATGCATGAATAAATAAACAAATGTATTTATTTGGCACAGCAGCCAGTGAATATTTAAAATGTTTGTACAGAAAAGCAAAGGCCAAAGGAAACTGCAGCACAAATGCTTGAATGTATAAGTAATTATACACTGCTGAAAGATACATTGTTTCTACTAGTGCGCTAACAAAAAGGCATTTAATTAACATGTTGGACTACAAACATGGCTTTCAGACTGAATATGCCAATTAGGAAGTGATTTGAGAGAAATTTTTGATCAATTCGGACTGTGAGTCTAATACTTCTCGAAGTTTTCTTTACCAATCTCCTCATTGGCAACAGACCTTTAGCTTTAAAAATAAGTGGTAGTTAGTTAAACTAACTACCACAGCAATGCTGATGACAGTCAAAACAAAGTAAAAGAGTTCAAGTGAACCACACCAAGCTGGCGGTCAAATAAACACTTTACTTCTTTGTGTGTGTGTGTGCGTGCGTGCGTGCGTGCGTGCGTGCGTGCGTGCGTGTGTGTGCGTGTGTGTGTGTGTGTGAATAATAAAACCATGGTGATGTTAAATCAAAACACCCAAAGTTAATCACGTTTGACACATTTTTGTGTTAAGATGAATTAACGACACAGGCGTTGGTAGATAATGAATATGATGATGGTGGGATAGAGCTTATCTCTCTCTGCTGGACATGTGCTGTTGAAGCAGGTGATTTCTGAAGTGTCTGGCTCATTTCACCCTCACTCCCTGTGGTTTTCATCCCTCTCCGTTTCCATCTGTCCGTCATCCCCTTCCCTCTTCTGTCCCTCAACCTCCTTCATCAGTCGCACCTTAATCTCTCCTCACTTAATTTCAGCCTTCACGCTCCTTCTCCGTCTACTTTGTCTCCTCATACTTTAAGTGACATCTTCGCTATTTCCCACAGTCTCTTCCCTTCTGCGTTTCCCTCCACACTTTCTGCCTCCTGATGGGTTTTGATTAAGGCATCCTCAACCAGCTGCTCACAGCACCTGCAGCACACCACCAACACACACACTCTCCCCTCGTAAAAAGTCAGCTATTAAAGATTTGAGCTGGAAAAGATTCCTCAAGACTTTCTCACAGCATAATTTTGTTTGTGTGCATCTGTAAGTACCGCTGTGTTTATTAACCTACCAGAGCCAGGAATGCAGGCCCATTAGAAAATAAGAAAAAGCACGAATTATGTAAAATTGTATCCATGGTGTTCATTAGAACCAAGCACAGCATGCCTTAAAGCAGAATAAGTTATGGCCATGACACCTGACACTTAAGATGTGCTTACATCTTAAACCTTTAAACCACTTACCCACAATCTTGCTTCATTTAACTTATTAAAGCTGTGTTTCATTGGATTACACCACATGCAGGCAGGCTTCGTCACAGTTACGTTCCCTCCTGGACTAGGGTTACCAAAGGGACAAAAATATAAAATAACCGGGCGAGAGAAAAGAGGAGAGGAAACTGATTTGTGAAGCCACAAGATGGTCTTTTAATTGACAAAAGAAAAAGAGGCTCACCAGCCAATTTGCAAAGCCAACTTAAAGTGGACCTATCATGCTATATTTGAAACATATATTGTAGGGCCATACCTATATAAAACATGTCTGTGAAGTTCTTTTTTCAAAATACCAAACAGATGATGCATTTTAGCCATGCCTCATTTCGCTCTATTTGCTCTTTTCCAGCCCTGTTTTTGCAAGGGCTGATTCTGCTTTTGTGGCAGACTACAGCGCCACTTACAGGCCTGGCATATGTACTGCAGCGTCTCCAGTGCTTTCGAGCGGTCTCTCATTCCCCTGATAGGTAGAGANAGCCACCCCCTAGCGCCGCCACTGGTCCCATGTCATGGCCATTTCTACTGATCATATTTCCATTGTTGAGGTCTACTAGAATAAATTTAAATTGTGCAATTTTCCAAAATCACATTGGTTTCTCATACAGCATCTCTGTATACTATAGTTTGTGTATTCACTCTCTGTCCTAAATGGCTTGTTGGAGCTCCTGCCCCCCCCCCTCCCTGTGAGCCCAGTGTGCTCTGATTGGTCGGGACGTTGCTAGGCTCGTTGCTAGGCTGCTGCGAGGAGCGGACAGGTTTCCGGTTCGGCGATACAGCGAGAACAAGCGAAACTCATCCTGAGCACACACAAACACTCACAGCCGAAGTAAAAACAATAAGTGTGGCTTGATATTGAGTAAGAAAAAGGTTTATAACGCTGTGAGAATGGG